AAGTAATAATTGTGGATTAACAGATATTTTCTGTAATTTCAAGAGTAACCCTTAAAATTACAACTAACAGCCATTATTTTAGATTACATTATTATCATGTTTTTTTAAAGGCAATTTAATGTATTTTTTCAGATATAAATGTAATTTTGCTCAACATGTGATGTAATTTTACAGATCTTTCCGAATAATTACACTGAAGTTATGTGTATAAAATGACAGAAATTTGTAGTCATTATGCATGTGTGATTAAAGGGATTTTTTTTTTAAAGAGGTAATTAGTAGTATTTATATGGACACAAAAGTAATCTACAGTACAGTCCTATAAAATAATTTAAAATATTTTACAGAAAGTTCACTTTAAATAATGTAATTTTACAGAATGTATTCTATATTCTTACAGGTTTTTGCTTTTCAAAAATACAATAAAATCCCTGTAGGTTTGGATCTACATTTTTGCCATTAAAATTTCAAATAATTTAATCTTGACTTAAGATTAGGATAACATTAAGTTTTTAATGTTCTGTATTCTTTTTTGCAGGTATATCACCATTTTCATTTAGAACAAAGTAATATTCGTAAATCAGTGCAGAAATGTAAAGATTTACCCTTAAAATTACAAGTAAACAACCGTAATATCAGATTACAGTATTATTATGCCTTTTAAAAGTAATTTCACATCTTTAAATGTTGAAATATAATTTTAGCATCTTTCCAAATAATACGAAAAAAATGTACATAAAATGACAGAAATTTGTAGTCACTTCCATAAAATGACATAAGGACACCATAATAAGGATGTCATTCAATATTAATTTATCTCTAATGTTAGTGTTGATAATTTAGCTATGTGTGTATATATATAATAGTAATTATTTAATTAATTAACTAATTAATTTATTTTATTTTATTATTATTATTATTATTATTATTATTATAGTAATCCTCTCAATCATTTAAAATCTATCTCAATCATTTATAATCAATGTAAAACTAAAATCTTTAATCTACAACACTCCACTTTATGTAATTACTCTAAGCAGATTCAAATTTTAAATTTGCCGTCAAACAATGATGACAACAGTGATTGGTCAGTTGTTTGACGATGCTGAGGACTGACCAATGGCTGTGAGTGCTGACCAATCAGATCCATAGGGGGCGTGTCGGGA